TTTTATTATTTGAATTTTGTTTTTATTTTTATATTATTTTAAAATAAATAAAAATAGTAATAATATTAATTTTAAATATTTATTAAAATTTATTTGACATATTTAAGATAATAAATAATATTTTTAGAAAGTAAAAATAACTAAATTTTTAAAAAATAATTAAATAATAAATAAATTATTTTAGTTAATTTTTAAAAACTATTTAAAATATTTAAATAATAAGTATATTATTTTACATAATAATGTTAATGTTTAAATAATTTATACTTAAAGAATACTAAATATATTTTTCAAAATTAAAAAAATATATTAAATATTATTTTATTTATTTATTAATTTAAATATGTAATTTTGACTTAAAATTTTAAATATTAGTATGATAAAATGATATTTTGAATATAAATTTTATTTTAATTAAATTATTTGTTTAAAAATGTTATTATTTAATATTATAATTTTTAATATCCTAAACTATAAAATTATACTATTATAATTTTGAATAAATTTTATTTGAGAATAAAAAATTTATTTTTAAAAAGTAAATAAAATATTAAATTATAATTTAATTATTTATAGTTGAGACAAATATTTTGAAATTAACATTTTCATATTATTAAGGTAACATTGATGAAGACAAAGTACATTAATAAAAATGATAATAAATTCATAACAACATTAATAATTAATTATCTCCGTAATGGTGGTCAATTTCACAATGAGGGCGACGTCTGTGACGTAGTGAGTTTCATTGTTGTGGTTGTTGCTCTGGAATTTCAAGATGAACTTGTGGAGGATTTGGATCATCACGAAGGTCTAGTTGTTGGAATGCATTTGATGAATTACCAGGTTCATTAGCAAAATCTAGTTGGTAAAGAGACTGCATGTAAGTTTGTACTGAATATGAAGTTGTAAAATCAACTCCAAATAAGTTTGTAAAAAAATCCTCTGATGTTGTTGCAAACAAATGTTTTCTGTTAATTATGTTTGCTTCTGGCGTAATGTTCAGAGGAATTGATGCAGTCTCGTGGTATGACGGTGTGGCCATTTCAAATGTGTTGGTAATCCTTTGTTGTTGGTCGCTCGTCCTTGAATCTTGTAGTAGTTGTGGCACATATAGAAAATAGATAGAATTAGCAATGTATCATTCCATGTATTCTTGTGTGTGACACAATAGGCCTTAAATTGGATGACCTATTATTGTCAGCTCACGTCTGTTGTTCCATATTTTGATCCATTGAGCATGTTTTGTAACTCAATTTTCATCATGTCTTCTTCTCATGTCAATTTTGTGGAGGTCATTCAAATTATTCGGTGGAGAAGAGACTTCTTGGATTAGACGAAACTGTAATTTGACTCTATCTGTTTAGTGTCATTCAACAATTGCAAAACAAAGGATGGCGGTACATGAAGTCCACAGTTGGACATCTCTATATGCTTCCATGGGTATTGATGTCTACAAGTCTTGATATGGCGCCCATAAAAACTACAAATATATTTAACTTTATTACTTAAGATGATGTGTAAAAGATAAGAAAATAAATATGACGAGTTACCTGATTAGCTTGAATGTGATTAAACATTGATTTGTACCCCACAACATCATTGTGAGGTTTATTTCGAAAGTTTAGTACTCTACCCCCGCTCCATCTGCACATGAGAGGGTATGTTGGTGGATTACTAGAAATTGACGCAATATATGGCATGCGATACCATGCTCAGGACATTAACAGTGATGAGCAACCACCCATTGTTTTGCTACCAACTTCCGTGGCTCTGCACATTTCCCTGTATAACATAGCTAAACAACTAGAACCCCAACTATATCATCTTGTTCTTCTAAGATTAGTTAATAAAGCTAAATACATAAGATGTACTTTGTTGCCTGTTTTGTCAGGCATCAAAACACCTCCAATTAAACCCTACCCTCCAAACTATTTGAGCAAACCCTACCCTCTTAGCCTCTTGAAGAATATGCTGTTGTGGGTCTCCCAATCGAAGTATTTGATCCTTTTAGCGAGGACGAAGATGAAATCCTATCTCAACAACAAGATGATGAAGAAGACTCCCTCCCACTTCCAAATATTCCACTATCACAATCATTACCATTATACAACCAACCTCCACATTTTCTAAACATTCCCAGTCAAATACAAGAACATGACTCTGAGTTTGGCCATGTTCTTGATCGTGAAATTGTAGTGTATCCGTTTAGAACTTTGTTGGCCAACGCTTCTCAACAAAAGAACAAGTCCAAGACGCCATAAATAGATTTCACATTGTCAATCATTGCACTTACACGGTGAAAATGTCAAGCACAACTAAGCTTGTCGTTGAATGCATTCACAATGACTGTGCTTGGAGATGTCGCGCTATATTGCGCACCAAAGAGCAACACTGGGAAATAATAAAGCTTGAAGGGTGCCACACATGTGCTTCCCCAATCATTTCACAGGATCACAACAAGTTGGGATCACGAATGATTTCTCAAACCATTCGTGAAATTATTGAGACTGATCCATCCACACCTATCGCAACCATCTTAGCCCACATAAAGTCCACAATGGGTTATACAATCAGCTGTAGAAAAGGATGGTTGGGGAAACAACATGCCATTGAAAATATCTTCGAAAATTGGGAGGAGTCTTACCATAAGTTACCTAGACAGTTGCTTGCAATGCAACTGTATGTTCTAGGCTTCATATGGAAATTGAGTACACAACCGGCATACAATGGTGGCTTGCTTGACGCGGGGAATGTGTTCTTCAAGAGGTTGTTTTGGATCTTCAAGGCATGCATTGATGGTTTTGCCTTCTGCAAACCAATTGTTCAAGTGAATGGAACATTTTTGACTGGCAAATAAAAAGGGACTTTATTAGTGGCAGTTGCACAAGACGGCCGCAACAACATAATTCTCATTGCCTTTGTTGTGGTTGAAGGTGAAACTAGCGATGCATGGTTCTTTTTTTAAAAAAACTTAAGGAGGTACGTAACCTCGTAAGAGGGGTTATGCCTCATTTCGAATTGTCACGAGGCCATAAGAAGTGCATACTTCAGAAATGGAAGTGGTTGGACAGAAAACAATTCTGTCTATGTCTATTGCATTAGACACATTGCATAAAACTTCATGCGACGATTCAAAAATGCTACACTGAAGAAAGATGTCGTCAATATGGGTAATTTTAATTTTTTACATAGTCTATATTATCATTAATATTTTATACAATTGCTTAGCTAGTTATATTAATTTAATTTGTAATCTTGTTTCCAGCATATGGGATGACTGAACCGAGATTCTTTTACTATTACAACATAGTAAAAGATAATAATCCTGAAGCTGCACAATGGTTGGACAACATCCCAAGAAAAAATGGACACTGACATGGGACAACGGACGACGATGGGGACACATGACAACAAACCTAGCAGAGTCAATCAATTCGGTCTTAAAGAAAACCAGAAACTTACCAATTTGCTCCATGATCATGGCAACATACACCCATTGCGATAAGTTCTTTATTGACAGAAGCAAGGAAGTAGATGCAATGATTAATGCTGGACATATGTACTCGGAGGTTGCAACTAAAGCAATTCAAGATGCACAGTCAAAGGCGAACACTCATAAAGTCATCACCTTTGACAGAACAAACACTAGATTTTTAATCGAAGAAACGCAACATCCGACAGAAATTCGACTTGTAGGAAGATTTACAATACGGTTAGATGAAATGTGGTGTGATTGTGACAAGTTTCAAAAAGTTCACATCCCATGCTCGCATGTAATTGCTTCATGCTTACACACATACCACAACTTTGACATCTACATATTTCCTGTGTATACCTTACAACAAGTTTCTAGGGCATACGAAAGTCAATTTGGAGAACTCAGACATGAAGACTATTGGCCAACTTACACGGGCCCAACTTTGTGTCCAAATCTAGAACTAAAAAGAACTTCAAAGGGTCGACCCAGGTCCAGTAAGATAAGAACAGAGATGGACATTAGAGAACAACAAAGTCGGGCAAAAAATTGTTCTTATTGTCATACCCTTGGTCACACAAGGAAGACATGTCCAAACATCGGTCAAGCTTCTAGTTCCTGTCATTGATTTATGTTGTTATTATTTTAAAATTTTCTTAATGTCATTTTTAATTTTATGAATGTTATTGCATCTTTTAAATTTTTAGTATTTGTAATTTATATTCAATATATAATTATATATATAATATATCTACATAATATTATTTAATTATATTTATTAATATTAATAACATTTTTTAAATAAATAATTATGTATAAATTTTAATAAATATTAATATATCATAATAAATAAATAAACTGGTTATTATTTAATACTTTATTTATTTTATAAATATATAATATTAAATAACCAAAAATATAATTTTAGAATATAATATTCATATCATTTTCAAAAAATAAATTTATCTTAAATAATATAATAAAAAATAATAATATTATTTATTATCTTAAATATATCAAATAAATTTTAATAAACATTTAAAATTAATATTATTACTATTTTTATTTATTTTTAAATAATATAAAAATAAAAACAAAATTTAAATAATAAAAATTATTTTATTATATATAATTAATAAAATATTTATTAAAATAATATATTATAAATATTTGTTTTAACAAAATAATAATATATAAATATAATTTAAATAATAATATTTATTTATTAAAAAAAAAACCAAAAACTATCTAATATATCAAGATTCATCTTAATAGCAAAAAGAAACAGGTCTATTCGTGTAAAAAAAAATTGGCAGAAGATTTTTTTATTTTTTTTTGTTATTTTACGGGAAAAAACTCAAACAAGTAAGATAAAAATATATAATATAGTAAAAAGTAATAAGGGCGTGCGTTGCACGGTGGGAGGGCTAACAGCACTCCTTTGTTTGGTCTCTCTTGACCGTTTCATAGTCGCTTTCAAGTTCTTCTTCTTTTTGTTGTTCTTCGTTCATTCACCAAAATTTAATGATTTGAGTTTGTTACGTTTGAGAGTGCGAAAGGCCACTATGGGAACGCCACCCTCTGAATCTAACGAGGCTTCATCAGATCACGTGGTTGAGCTCATTGTGTGCGATGCATCAGCACCTTCTTCTGCTGTTACCGATGCCGACGCCGATACCGATTCTGATGATAAAGACCAAATTGCCCCTCTCCTCTCCCATTCCGAGAGACCCAAGATCAACATCTTCACGGCTTCTTACCCTCGCAGAAAACCCAGAGTACTTCTCTTTCTTCTCTTTCTCTTTCTCTTTTTCATAGGAAATGTATACATGAAGACACGGTTTGTGGTCAGCTCTTTATATGATAACATTTTACCCTTTATGAATATGTTTAAAGATTATAAATGTATATACACTATAAATTTCTGTCTATGGGTGTGTTGCTCTATTTAGAATTTTCTGTTAATCGGAAATCTTTGGTAGAACTCAAACTCAAGCTAAGTTTGCCTTAGTTAGTCACCTGTGGATGGATTATATGTGAGACACCTGGATCAAACAGCAAATGCTTTGAAATGACTTCTGTTTACGTCAGATTCTCATGATGGTCTGTAATTATAGATTGAAAAAAAGATGGTTTTTGTGTTTCTGTCAAAGAAAAAAGATAATTTAAGCAAAGGGAAGCTGATGAAGCAGAGTTAATTCTGTAACTTGTGTGTGGCTGCAGGATGAAGTGACCAGATTACTTGAGTCGGAGACATCTCCTTTAATTCAGTTTGCATTGTGGGTATGGAATGGGTCCAGATACTCTGGTTTACTTTGTATGGCGCTCTCATCTACCATTTACTTTGTAATGGGAGTTCTGACCAATATTTTTTCTGGTAATGTTCTGCTGATCTGCATAGTATGCCGTGTTCTTTACTTGCACATTATGCATTTGCAGAATAAAGGAAACAACAAGTGAAAAACGAATTTAGTTGCAACTAGCTAGTAATTCTGATAGGAGTTAAATGTTATGAATTCAACTTCCATGATGTTGAGCTTGTTTTCATCATTTTTTTCTGGGTAGTGAGAGGGAGAAGGTAAACTTGTAAATTTTCCCCCCTTTCCGTTCCATTTTCTTCAGTATTGATATTCGTCTGACAAATCCTATATATGTCAAACATTGGTTTTCACTGCATGGTGGTCATAAATTATTTTTCCTAAGATCTCCCTCAAACTACTCCAATCCCCCTGCATGGATCCATGTCCATGGTCTTAAATCGTGGTTGTGGTCACTGTTGTGTTGTACCTATTGTAGACTGTTGCGGTCAATTACAAACAATGCAATCTGCTATCAGAATCTGATACAGTTACAGATGAGATGTTGCAGCCACATCATGTGATGCTGCCTGCAATTTCAAACCCTGTAAACAACTACTGGATTTTTTTGCCAAATATTTTATTAAAACCTTCTACTGTTTTTTGAGCTAAATTGTTCATACATCAGTCCTTAAACACAGCTTTTGAGTCATTTTTTGGGAGATTACTCTCTCTATTCCTTTGTGCTTTTCTTGTATGTATAATATATGGATAGTCAAGGAGACAATGGATGCAAACACAAAAACTCTCTCGTTACAGTAAATAGTTTTGCATCTTAAAAATTTTGACAAACTATCTATGATAGTTTTACCTTCCAATTCTATCAATCTTTTATTATCTTTTTCTTATTTGGCTACTCAGTTGCATTTAAGATTATTTTTTCAAGATCTACAATTATCTTCTGTTCTTTTTATGTTATAGTTGTTGCTCATTTTAATTTTTGCAATAACAATTTTGATTTGGCAGTTCAGGCAATTCCTTTGTTTGAGACTGCTTTTACAAGATGTGCAATTATCTTGATACTGTCATATTTGTGGTTGAGAAGGAGTGAACAGCCACTATTTGGAACATCCCATGTTAGAATCATTTTACTTTTAAGGGCCCTTACAGGTTGTATATCGATGTCTAGTTTTGTATATTGGTAAGTAATCACTTTTTTCCCTCTCAACATTAATCTTTTTCAGCATTTCATTTGTGATTTTGGTATGATATTTTCTTTATTGGACATTTCTTGTTCATTCTTTATCTTTCTATTTTTGTGAAATGTCATTATTTTATAATATTTTATCTTACTTTTAGAATATTATTGGATATTGGATAATATAGTGATCTTTAACATTGATAATTATTCACACAGAATATAGTTTATGAAGCTTTTGGGTTTGCACAGTGATTGCACTACTTGCTAGTATGATATTCAATAAAGGTTTGAGCATAGGGATTTGTATTGCATATTCTTGTCATGTAAATAATAACTATGTAAAGACAAATCAATGTAATACTTTATTATCTTTCTGTCTCCTAAAATATGAAACTCCATGCTGACAACTAGTGTTCTTTTGCATACAATATTCTTCACATTAAGTTCAGTTAACCTTGTTTTGTAATTTGACATCACCAATTTTTGCATCAACAAAATGAGTTTACATGCAACTCCTTTCATCATTTTTTAGCCTTTTTTTTTTCATTTTTCTCTATGTTCATTGGAATTATTTTGCTTCTTGAGGTTTTCATGAATAGCACACCTACTATAAAAACCTACTGTAATAAAAAATCTGTTCCTTTTCAGCTTTCAGAGGTTGCCTTTCTCTTATGCTATTGTATTGAATTCAACAACTCCTATTATGGCTTCAATTATGGCAAGGGTTTTTTTGCGTGAGAAATTAAAAATTGCTGATATTGCAGGTAAGGTTTAATAGTTCTATTCTTAAACTGACCTTTGATAAGAACAGTTGAGACTACACAAAGGGACTGAAATATGTATGTATTTCTGATGGATTCAAATTGTACAGAGGGTACACAAATATATTGACACAAGGAGAAATCAAAGAGAGGAAAGAATGAAACTAAATCTAATGATATCACCCTAATTAGATAATATACAGCAAACCTCCTAAATATACATCAATGCAGATCAAATCTGAGATAAATAGGAATAAAATCAATTCAATCACATTTATATAATATCTGCTGGGATATCTCTATAACCTTCTCAATATTTCAACCATGGTAGTCAATAACCCATGATAGCGGCGCTATTGCGGTGGAGTAGAGCAGAGTGGCTCCCCGCCGCAACACAGTGCATAGCGTTGCGATTTTGTGTAGCAGCTGGTGCAGCATAAATTGTGGCCAAAATTGCAGAAAATTGCTGCTGCTAGTTGATGCATGACAGAAATGTCAAATTTACCCTTGTTTTCTTAACATTTGAAGGCTTTTAAAGGGGGCAACAGTGCCTGATGTCCTTTTTTGGCCAAATTCCGGTCATCTTTAAACAGTGTTGCTCCTAGTTCTTATTAGTTGGAGAGTTTAAAGCCCATAGTTGTTAATTGTGTGCAATGGCAGCACCAGCACTCCCTGAATGCCCATAGTGTCCAACCTTGAGTTCGTGGGCAGTGTGGTGTGATTAACGGGTCTTTTGTGCAAAATCGTGACCTAGCTGCTATCCTCTTTGCCTGAATAAAGCCTGCTTTGCCTGTTTTGGGGAGGAATTTCACCCGCATGTACATATTTAGATGTTCTGGGAGCCAAGCATGGTCTTCTTGTGTGCCTAAAAAGAAAGTGAACCCTAGTTACTCTCCGCTCTCAATCATCATCTTCAGCGCTTCCTGCTCAGTCTGACAAGATTCACAGTAACACATGACATATTCTGGCCAGAATCTGGTGTTGCACAACGTTTCCGGCCAGGTTGTCACTTTCGCCATCTCCGGTGAGATTATGTATATCCTTTGTTATTTGGCAAAGATCCCATCTATCAATTGGCCTACCCATTCTCTTTGCTATCTGTCTGTTCTTGAACTCTCCAAAAGTCTAATACTGCAATGGTGACCTCCAATCAGCCACAGGGAACCTGACAAAGCCTTGCCTCTGTATCAATTTCTTCTTGTTTGGTTCCTTTATTTTGCTGTTATTGGCATGTATATTTTTTCAAATACTTTTGATCATTAATTATGAATATGTCTTTAATTTGAATATTTTTTTTCAGCTTATACATGTATAGAATAATCTATTTAAGATGTATCTTAAAGCTTCCCAATAGTGGTCATCCTGCTACCCGCTATCTCGTTATAGCAGTTTTGGAGTCAGCTGCACTATGCTAGGGCCTAATATGCCTAACACTAGAATCTCGTACTTTGTATGTGGGACCCTTATAGCTCTTGCTATTAGATCCTAACACCTGTATTTCAAAATTAAATTAGGAGAAAATTTAAATTATGATTTTTTACTCAATTACTTGTCTACATTATGAATGACATTTATATTGCTTAAATTCTGTGCAGTTATATCCTGTTTAGAAGCCGAAGCAGTTAGTGAACTGTTAACTTTATTCTATTAATTGTAACTACCATTTAAGATCTTATAAATGGTGTCATCTTTTTGTTTATACAAGCCATTGTGGCATACAGGATGATGTAGAACATGACAGCAAACATGACAAGCTCAAAATTATTATGGATGGTTCTAGTGACAAATTGACAATGGAGCTGTAGGCATAGAGGCATACTATACCTTATGTAGGGCACCCAATTAAACCTCATTCTACTTAGATAAGAAAGCTGATCTATAAACTCAAGCAAAGCTAACCTACATTAGGAAATAAAATCCTAAGCCAACTAGTGATAAAGATATTTTAAGTCTCAAACAAGAAAAAACTAATGAGAGAATTCTTAATAATTATATCACAATTCCAAAGTCACAGACCCTAAATTCCATATTACTTGTACAAGAAGACATATGATTATAAAAGTATGGATTCATCATCAACTGTATTTACAGATTAATTATTTAATGCTCCCTATTGTTCAGGTCTTGCTTGTAGTTTCTTTGGTGTACTGTTCTTCTTTCGAGAAATGCTTGCTACACAAGGTAACAGTAGTTTCCATTTTTTATTCTTTTTTCATGTACCTCTATATAATTTGACTCCAAATTCTTATACTTGAGTGTTTTTAGGAGCTCAACTTAGATGAGAGTGTTTATAGTTGTTAGTTTTTTTTTTTCCATATTTTTAATTCATTCTTAATTTAATTTTTTTTATAATTTAAAGATTTGATCTCTTTAATATTGTCTTATTTAACATAATAAGATATTTATTATTAATAGAAATATTTATTTGTTTTAAATTTAAAAATATTTTAGAATTTTATTTTAATTTGATAATAAATGTACAATGCAAGGCAAATGTGCTAATTTACATAATTTTCCTGGTATATTCCCTTTAACTATAATAGGTTTACTCATAATTTAGAATAAATAATGCATATAAAAAAGAAGAAAACGGCCAACAGGACTTCATCTTGTTAGTTACAGGAGGTCTTGTGATATTTTTACTCATTTCTGACTGAGGATTTATAGCCTGCATCATCTTGGTTCAGGAAGAATAATTGGTATACTTTTAATTACTCTTCCTAATTTCAGAATTTCCATTTTCCAGGACAGTTAGTCAAAGCTAAGGAAGCAAGTAATGCATATGCTAAGACAGGTCATATATTTGCTATCCTATTCGGCATCTTTTCATCAATACTTGGTGGAACTAGTTACTGCCTTATAAGGGCTGGAGCTAAGGCTTCAGATCAGCCACTGTAAGAATATATTTTATTTCCTCTTGGATTTTCTCATTGATAAAAAATGTTACTTTCCTGGATGTTTGCACCTCAGTTTTCTTCATACCTGTTTATTTTGATTTGGTTTATACTTGTTTGTTAGAATATAAGGTAGAATATACAAGTCTACCTAGTATTTCCCTGTCCTTTTGTTTTAGAACCCATTCCCTTTACAATCTATTTATTGGTAGTATGGTGCTTATATCAAAGTACGTGGGTATGATGCCTGCACAGCAGTCCAGGCTTGTCATTTAGTTCATCGAAATATATCACATTTTTATCCTTTAAAGATTTTGCTTTCATTAAAGGTAGCTAATGGTCCTTATATTGACTTTTGGGAGGACAAATGGATGGAATATTTCTGTGTTAGATATGCTTTCGTTAGTCTTTATCATCTTTCTTCTGTATATAGCCCTCCTATATATTATTTTTATAGTGTTAAAGATTCTATTTTCTTGGAATTTCTGATTTTTTTAAAACTTCAATGATAAGGAATATACATAAAATTTGTGATCTCTAAGTAACAAGAAACTAAAATTATAACCAAATCCTAATTAGATTTGAATTGTGCCTTAACCACAAGGAAAACTTAATGTACTCCAATCACGCCAATTAGTTGGCTGGATTCCCTAAATTGTTATTTCACAACATGAAATGGTTCACCAGTCTTATTACGTGCATGGCTGATCTTCTTTGGGCCTCCACAGACATGCTTCTTGCCAAATGCCTTGAATTAGCCCACTAAGTATCTCCTTGAACCTTTAGTCCTTGCCCTTGTAACTAGTCCAATTGGCACTTGGATATTATAGGATCAATATACATGCTATGTGTGCTATCCTTCCACTCGTTAGTTTCTTTCTTGTTATTGTACATATTTTTTCATTGTATTGAAAGATGACAGTGACTGAATATGAAAGAAGAATGGAGTTCATTTCTATGTGAGCACAACATATTTTAACTTTTAAGTTGAAAAAAGTATTATAAAATTGTCTACCCAAATATAGAATTGTTACTTAATAATATACTGCAGACATGTTCTTGGAGCAAAAAATATTACTTGAGGTATTGTTATATAAAAGAATTGGCTTTATCTTTTTAAGACGGATTCTAATCTGAACATTCACAATTCTTTTAGTTGACATTTTATTGTCATATGTTCCTGACTTTTTAGGTGCTTCATTTTATTAACTAGTAAAATTCCTATACACTGCACAAGTGTTATTAAATTAAAATAATTTTTAAATAAATAAAAAAATATTGCATGACTATTTTAAAGAGTAAATGTTAATAATAATAAATGTTTTATTTTATTAAATAAAGTTAAATAAAGATAATTTTTTTAATTATAAAATAAATTATGAAAATTTCAAATTTTAAATTAATATTAAATTGAAAAATAAATGCTTACTGTTGAAGAAAAAAGCTTGGAATGACGAAAATGAGAATTAACTCTTAAAAGTGCTCTTGTTTGAGAAAGCTCCTAAAAGTGCTCTAGTTTAAGATTTAGAATTCACAAATTATACATATAGGTCAAATATGAATTGAGATTGCATATAATGGATTTGTATCACAGTAGTAGATATATGAGAGCTATTGGTTGTAACTAAGATACAGAATGGCAGTGTGCTGTGTTTTGTAAAATGATTACGATGACTTGACTTTTAAAGACCCAAACAGTCATAGAACTTAGAGCAGAAATGTGAAAAGTAGCAAAATTATCCAAACGTATTTTTGGCAGTGTATTTTAGAGAGTCAATGTATCTCTTAATTATATGAATTTCTGTTTTGTTGCAGGTTGACTGTCTTTTCATTTGGCTTACTGGCTAGCCCTGTGATGGGTATATGTACTTATATCTTTGAGGTTAGTTCATGCTTCAATTAAGTAACTTTTTCAATCAATGTATGAAAGAAACACAAAAGTGATGCAGAACTGTAGCCCCAAAGGTACAGTTCTAGGGCGAGTACTTCCTGACTTACAAAAAATAAGAATAGAAGTTAACTATTATTCAAAACCCATCAACTATTTACAGAGGGAGCCTATTTTTAGCCATATAAAATCCTATAACAAATTTAAAATAATAATAAAATCTAAAATAATTCTAAATTGCTATCAGGACAAAATCTAAAATTGTCTCACATTACTAAAATAACAAAATCTAAGATAATTCTAATTTACTAAAAATAACAAAATGTAAGATAATCCCAAATTACTAAAGATAACACAATCTAGAATAATCCTGTATTAAAAACCCCAATTAAAAATGCAAATCCTAAAATAAGATAATTCAATCTACACCAAAAAGTTTAGAAAATTTATTGAGAAGCTGCTTAAATATTTGTAATTATTATTATTGTTGTTGCTGGTTTCTACCTATAAAATTTTCAAGAATATTATTCACTATAACCTTAATAAATAATCAGTTTTTCTAGTGTGTGCCTGGGCACATGTTAAGAAATATTAATTACACCTTATTAAAAGTTTTGAATTACTATAAAAAGGATGGATTGAATGTGTTTTATGATTTTGAGATAATGAATATTCTTTTTTTCAACAAAAATTTCTAATCTTAACTTCTTAACATGTGCCCTTGGACTTAGAAAAAAACGATAAATGATAATTAATCCTCTATATCGGCTAGAGTTGTTCATTTGGATTATTTCTGATGGTACTGGTCAGTTTATTTACATTTGCAAAATAGTGTCCTTGTATTTTCTATTAACGTTCATTAATTGAATAAGGCTCAATTTGGATAAACTTATTAATAAGTTCTTATAAAAGAGAAGTAAAGAGGTAAAATGATTTAAACTTCTCTCGTCTGTTAAAATCAACTTATGTGCCTCACCTTTTTCTGAAGCTCTTTCATTTAACTTTTCCTAAAGCTGAGGTGTATAACTTGAGTTTAACTTTTGGGATAATTTTGATTTATTTTGTTTTCTTATTTTCTTCTCCTATAAGTATTTACTGTAAAGTTTACCCAAACTGGGCCTAGGTTAATGTTCCCTGAATTGTTATGGACTTATCGGGAGTTTAGAAATCATTCTGAATGGTTTCAGCAATAGAACAATACAAAATCTTTTGATTATTTTTCTTCAGTATTTTACATCATCAGCACAGATTTTAGGTACTTTCAAAACTTCCAATAATTTGTCAAGTCTTTTGAGGAGCAGCTCTGACCTTAGAAACCTTTGATTTGCAAAATGGGCAATTGGAAATTTGTGCCTATCTCAAGATTCGAGAAGGGATTGGGAAAAATATTGTCAAAATATATCCTGATGCATATGAAGTAATGACAAATGAGCTCGTTGTTAGAAAAATTCTTTAAATTATCAAAAGAAGCATGGTGTTATTGTAAAGAAGTACAGAAGCATTAGAAAGTGCCAAATGGGGAAGACTAAGCTAAAATTCATTGCATAAAAGTAAAACAAATGCAAAGGCCATTACCCACTTTATGTGTCGTTAAACTCTTGTTTATAAAGAGATTTATTCTTCTATCTTTTATAAATTCCAGTTTCCGTTGCCCAGGCTTAAGGATTTCTTTTTGTAACTTACTCTCTTAATGTGCATGACTTCTTGTGTATATCATATATTTACCTCTTAATATCAAAACTTTTTATATCAAGGTTTAAGTATCTTAGAGAGAGAGAAATAGAAACCGAAAAGAACTGAAATGAATTTGATATTGTTGATAACCCTCTGAATGCCGAAATCAGACTCTCTTATATGGAGTGTTAAGCACAGCAATCATTGACATCTAACAGAAAAGTAATAAAAGATATAACTGACTCATAACTAACTAACTGAAACTTGCATTTGAAACAACTCAGAAATAACAAACAGGAACAGCTAATAACAGAAATTACTAATTTTACTAACTGAAATAAGTAACACAAGTTGTACACTTAACAATCAATAAATTTCTAGGTCATAAATTTGACTTTAACACATCATATCAATTTAATTGTTGATTGAAACAATTCTGTAATTTACTTCTCAATTTAAAAAAAAAAAAATTATCTCTTGAAATTTTTTTTATATGATAAAATAAAATCTTCATTCTTGACAGTTAGGGCATTTCATTTTTACTATCTGGTTCATACTTTGTTCTTCCTTAGTTGTTTGACAAAAGAGATATTGTTCTTTGATATATATTTAGTGTATACCTCTCAAGCTCTAATTGCTCCCTATACTCTCCCACCAAATTTCTTTGCTTTCAATCCTAGCAACACTTCAAAGTGATTATGTATCATTGCTGCTGAACCTTCTAAAAATAGCTGTCTCAAAATCCTCTCGTTTAAGTTACTACTAGGAAACTTGGGCTTAACTCACTTCCAAAAGCTAGCTCTTAGGAGGAGGACTATTCAAGCCCTTATAAAGAGTACTCTGGTTATATTCCTAGCTAATGTGGGACATCTTAGCACACTCCCCCCCCTTCTTACAGCCAGCCCAACATTCAGACTGGATAGACTCTAATACCATATTAAGAAACTTTTACCTCACTCACTTCCAAAAGCTAGCTCTTAGAGGACTATCCAAGCCCTTATAAAGAGTACTTCGGCTCTATTCTTAGCCAACATGAGACATCTTAATAGTTACAAAACTCCTACCTGTGAGTCCTAAAGTTCCTTTCCCTCCACTGCTTCCATCACAACCTGCAAGTTCTCATTCTCCAAGACTTCCTTATGTTGGAAATATCTCTTCACATGAATAATGCAATCATATGCTTCATCACCAGAAAAACAGCAGTTTCAAGTCTACACCATCTATCATCTCCAAGGTTTGCATCCACTTTGGGCTCAAGATGAGAACCATTCCAATAGCACATTCGCAATGCTTTGCCGCCTCCTCTTTGTTGCCTATCTTTTTTGCTCAACCTATTCCAAAGGCTCATCTCGGCGAGCTTCTGCAACAACTTCCATATCATGTTGTCCATTCCTTTCATGAGACTTACATGCAGCTTCTAATCCTTCCTCATTTGTTCTCTTGTCCTCCTCTTGCTGTTTAACCCATCTTTCGAATGCATCCCTGTCCTGTTCTTGTAACCAATCTTCTTGGGCTTGCTTTGCCAACAACTTCAAGTTGTGTTCAAGTCAGTCCAGGCATGCCTCCTATCATGTACTGAACATGTAGAACTCCCTGGAAAGGGAGCTCTAATACCAGTTGTAAGATGCTGGTATAGCAAGAATATACAATTTAGAAAAGGAAGTGCTACAAAGAAATAGAAGTTCACTCATGTTTTCTTGGAGTGAGTCTTGTGTGACAGGAAGGAGAAACAACAGTATGGAACAAACTCAGGAGTTCATGAGCCTTGATTCTCCAAACACTCCTCTACTACCAAAACTATAAAGTTCTAAAAGAATCCTCCCTATTTATTTCCTTCTTAGTTTTGTAACTAGCTCTTACTTGGTCAATTAATTTCCCTTTCAATAACAGAATTAGGCCTTTCTATTTTGGCCTTCTAACTCCTACTATAAACTTTATTCATTTGGGACCTAATATTTCCTTGGAGGATAATTGATTTCTTGGTAGATCAAGAAGCAAAACAAGTAGCTTGGTCAAGTGCAGAATGTGAATATTTAGCAATGGCCCAAACATACTACGAATTATTAGGGGTTGTTTCCTTGGTTTTGGGTGTGCTAGAAAAGCTAAATCACCTGTCAGCTGAGTAGGTTTGACTGAATTAATTGAGTGAAATCAGTTGAGCACAAATGCAACTTGAGTTATGGAGGAAGACTTTATAATCTAAGGATTTTTGCTTGAGTAGAAGTAAGGTAGAGTGCATGCATTGTAGGTTTAGCAAAAAACAAGATGAGGATCATGTGTTGAAAGTTAAACTTGGAGATGACATTATACCACAAGTTCCTAGTTTTAGGTACTTGGTATTGATTATACAAAATGATGGAGAAATTAATGAAGATGTTAGTCATAGAATACATGCTGGGTGGTTAAAATGGAGAACGGCATTGGGAGTTATTTGTGACCATAAAGTACCTATCAAGCTGAAAGAAAAATTTTATCGTACCACAATTTGATCATCTATCCTTTATAGTAGTGAATGTTGGACCTTAAAGGAACAACATGAGAAAAAAGTGAGTGACAGAAATGAGAATGCTAAGGTGGATGAGTGGACACATGAGAAAGGACAAAATACAAAATGATAGTATACGAGAGAATATTGGAATATCTAAAGTAGAATAGATGACTAAAAATCATCTAAGGTGGCGCTAGTAAGAAAAGTGAATTACATGACTTTTAGTCTGATAAAGAGGGGTTGAGGGAGATCCAAAAGAATCTTAGACTAAGTTATTAAAAGAAACCTTTTGATCAACCAGATTTCTGAAAATTTGGTTTTTGACTGAGCTCAATGGTATCGTGTGATCCATGTCGCTGACCTCACTTAGTGAGATAAGGCTTGGTTGTTGTTGTTGTTGTAGTTACTTTATGATATCAGATTCAAGATAGCTTCACTACACAGCTGTGACTGAACAGCCGGAATGCCCTTCCCAATGCATTGGACCCACATTTACATGAAAGCTAAATACACATAATCCAATTGCCACTTCATTTGGGAAAATATCTTGAGACTCATGCATAGAACATGTTAGGACTGGAGAACAGATTGCTGACAGCCCATAAGAAGGTTGTCAAAATTGAGTTTCAACGTTGGAACGGAAGGGGGTATTGTATTGTAGGAGCAATGGATCACAACAAAAATTGTAAGAGTCAACTAAAATGCATAAATATATTTAATCACATATTTATAAACAAAAATAGCATAAATTAGCATATATATATACATGAAATACTATTCAAATTGAAGCCCTAATCAAAGTCAACATCATTCTTCTTCATGCTTTATGTGCAAAACTTGTTTGCCATAATAATACATTCAATAGATTCCTGTGCTGAATTCATAAATCCTTGATTACTAGCAACTTAGTCTTTACCACCACTGCCTAAAATCGAAAATTTACTTTTCTCTGTGAGTTCATCATTCAACATATTGGGAAAAATAGGTTCCTTCATTAATAGATTTATGAATAATCTTTTTCCTGCAAGGCTATGTTCCAGTTGGATATCAAATATTTGTTTGTTTGAGTGATTATGTTACACGTTTTACCAAATGCTAGATTGATAGTAATAATAATGATCAACTGTATCGAATCTCACTTATATGGAAGTTTTTGGTAAATATAAAATAATTTGACTCACTGTATTCCATCTCACATAGGAAACTTTTTGGTACATATAAATAATTTATCTCCTTTGTGCAGGAATTTGTGCTACCAGGATTCCAGTCAATTTTACTTATGCTTGTACTTAGTATTCTGGCCTTCTTTGCTGAGGTAAAACTCTTAGCTGTTTAATGATGGTTTGCTTTTATTTTAAAAAAAAGGTAATAAATACAAATTGTCATAGTGTAGACAATTGGTGATGTTAAATAATATTGGTCTTTTCATGCCACACATAAAATGAGGACTATATATGAGCTTTGTTTCTATAGCATTAGCCATATAAGAGAAAGAGGTGGAATAAAACCATGCCATTTATAATAATGTTGTTTCTGCCTACACTAATATAATGATTTTGATCTTGCTCTAAATTACTACACGGTTCTGCTCATTGTAGTAAACTCTACTATCTGTAGCACTTCCCAAAAGTTTTCTCTTCTATTCTGTTCTTGTGACTTGTGAAACAATAATTTATATCTCACATAGTTTCATGCCATATTTTATTGTAGCACTTAAAGGGTTTGATAAGATTGTTTTATAACTACTTTTAGAAATGAACCAAACCTATTTTAGTCTCAAAAGCCAGCCAAGGCCTCAAACCCAGAGGATAAGGAGTATTCTAGTCATATTCCTAGCTAATGTGGCAAGTCATTCTCCTGAATAAAAACCTAAAGCACTCTCTACCCTAACTCAGCCTGATAATGATAATAAATGTTAATTAATAATTATGATTCAAAGCCATCAACTATTTAAAGAGAGCATATTTAGGCCACATAAACCCTAATCCCAAGATGGGCAATATAAAAATCCAATCAAAATAATAATGAAATATCTGATGGTACCCATTGAGTAAATCAATCTTGGAAAACCAACTGGTGTCTACTGTTTGGGCCAACATATTCTCCAATCTAGGAATGGGGAACCTATATTGTAATCTTATTAACAAGGCTGAATCATTCCCTAGTTCAAAAGATCCTTAACTTGCCTATTAACCTCTTCACGCTCTTCAGATTCATTCTCTACTGGGAAATGTTAACTAAAGAGGCAGCCAACACTAAGTCAATGGCATGTTGAATGTCCCTCATTGGTGGCAATTCCTTAGGAAACTCATTAGGTATAACATTCCTAAAGTCCTCAATCAATTGATCACATTCTTCAAAGGACCCATGAAATAGGGTTTTGGAGAACTCTATTGCTAGCTAGGAATGACTGTTAATACTGCATCAAACTCCAAACACACTAACTCAAACTCCGTAGTGGTAGAAAATGTAAGTTCTTTTTCAACTCACTTTGTTGTTGTTGCACCTCTGGAGTAGGTTGACTGCTTGGAGTTAAGTTGGGCGGGCAGCAATATGATATTTTTGCTCTGATAGCAGAAACAATGTGTTCTCTTGGCCTTGATTGAGAGTGGAACTTGGCAGCACCCAACTTTATCTAAACTCATTTATAAGCCCATGCTACCTTAAAAAGTTAATGGTGCTCATGTTTTATCCTTAATCTAGAAATGCCCACGGTAGAGATGACATTCATGGTGCTGCCACCATCGGTGACCAGGTTGTAGTGAATCCATCCCATTTGAAGATTGGAGTAGGAAGTGCTAGTAGTATGTTTCCAATCATCTAGTGGTACAGGCTTGGATTGGATGTTTTGCATGAGGCAAGGGGAGTAGTCATGATAGTCAAAATTGGGTGTCAAAACGTAAAATCGCATGATTTTACGATCTCCAACTCCCTCTCCGTGCTAGCTTGGTGCAAGGATCGTGATTTAGCAAGATCGGGTGGGATCACCATGCAAGAACGTAAAACCAGTGCTCAGACGATCCCCCTGTGTTTTCAAACCCAATGACCTGTGACTCAGTTTCCTTGAAAAAGATTTTGTCTGTGATCCCAAAACCTTTTCTCTGATCCTCTACTTTGCGATCCCTATAGCTTTTCCTCCGATGACTGTATTTGCTCCAGCGACCTTGTTATAGCGGAGCATTTTGTTGTGGCAACCATTGCAGCTGTATTTGCAGCCATTGTCGACTTTCCCTTTTTGCCCTTAAAATGATTTGCTATAAGTTTTTTTAAGGGTAAAAGAGTCTTTCCATTAGAATACATTACCTAATCCATCTTTTCCTTCTGTTCTTTGTCTCTGTTTTTAATGACCATGTCCTTGTTTCTATTTTGAGTTAAAGGTGGTTCTCTTCCCTTATTTGTCTTTGTTTAGCTTCTTTCATTTTTATATTTATACTATTTTATATGCATTCATACAATTTTTTAGGATCTTACGATCCTTGTTACGATCTTACGAGTTACAATCTTTCACCTCTTCTCCGATCCTACGTAAAATCTCGATTTTGACTACCATGGGAGTAGTATCATCAACATCATTTTCAAAAATATATTAAATCACACCACTACCTCATCCTCAAAATCTCTTAGTTCGTAAATGTTAAGAAACTTAGACCTAATTCATTCTCAAAAGCTAACTCATAGGAAGAGGACTACCCTAACTCTTATAAAGAGTATTTTAACTCTATTCCTAGTCAATGTGGAACATCTTATCTGTAACCCTTCTATGGGTCCTTAGTATTGGCAAGCTTTGTGTGGACACTAATATTTCCTATGTCCTTGCCCAAGATGATGGAAACACTCAGATGCTAGGCAAGTCAAATTGAGAGGAGTCTTACCACAATCATTGATCCTAGAGGTAGGGGACCACCAGTTGGTGATTAGAAGGACTAAGACACACTATTACTATGAGAGATGAGGATATGCGCTTGGGTGAGATGAAGTGCTAACATTGTGGAGCTGTTGCTCGAGAAAATTGCTCAACCCGTAGCTTTATGAAAAGTCTCATGGTGGGTAGACAGGGGTAAGAGGCCAACTTCTCTTCATGGAATCTCACAATCCGTTAACAAAATGGTTAACATTTGCCCATTCCTCCTCTTGAATATCACACGTAAGGTTGAGCTTCTCAAAAAGATGGCTCCTATGGTAGGTAAAGAAGTATTTTCTTGCAATTTTTGTTTCATAATGGCCCAACTCTCTATCGGAGCTAACTCTCTAAGCCTAGTTGTGACTAACTTAACCTTAGAGGGGTTGAATGAGTATAGGAAGAAAAATAGTCCTCAGTCTGGAAAAGCCAATCTAAGAAATGATCAAGGTCTAAGTAGCTTGGCAGATCTAACTTGGAAGTTCTGTAGGGCTTCTAGATCATTATCATGATAGTGGGTTTGATTATGGCAATTAGTATTCCTTCTCCAGTTATTCTGCTCATAATTTGACACTTCATCATAGTTAGTTACTTAGTAGTCGTCATTGTGATGGCAATGTGGACTTCAACGATTGTACTTCCTTGCTGATTAGACTGTTCATAGTTTGGATCAAGATTAGCACTTTTCCTTCGCTGATTGTTGTTGGCATTTATTTGGTACCTAATATAGGAAAGGATTTCAGTAAATTTAGTTTCAAAGGTGTCTAAGTAGCCTTGATAGCCCGTCAAAATTTTCCATGGTAGCAAAGTGAACAAAGAATCCAAAAAATTTCTTAGTCCATCCAATTCAAAATGCAAATTATCAATCATTACTCCATAGGGAGCAAATTGTAATGTTAAAATTGCAAGAAGTAAAATGTAAGGATCGACTTTAGACCTAGCACAAAAGTGATAATGATAAATTACCCTAACTACAAATAAAAGTTATAGCAATGAAATTCTAGTAGGGGATAAAATAATCAAATGTTAGAGCTATCAAAGTAATGATAGATATTTGTTTTCTTTTCTGATTGTTGTTTACTTTTTTGGTTAAGTGAGTGTTTTTAAAGAAAATTTGGCCTAATATAGACTTACTCAAATTTAAAGTGATACAAAAAATAGACAAGCTTTTAATTGAAGAGATTGCACTTATGTTTAGTCACAACTAATGAATCAATCCAAACAAAGCTATAGCAGTGTTATCAAATGGCGACCATGGCGGAAAACTGTGGTGGATTCTTAACAATCTGCCATACATATGGTTGTTCATGGTGGGTTTGCAATGGCAGGCCATGGCAGCCAATATTTGCATGGCGATCACAGTGGTTATGGTGGCTATGGTGAAATTTTGGGAATCTCCCCCCTCCCCCCCCAAAAAAAAAAAGAAAAAGAAATTAGGTTTTCTGATTTGACCTAGTTTCACACTAACCCAACATAAAGGAATTAGGTCTCAGCTAAGTCTTTCTCTCTCACAGCAACCTCCTATCTCCTTCTCTCACCTTCCCTACTTCCAATGACCATGAGCTCCAACAACCCTCATTTTCCAGTGAGCAGGTTATCTTGTTGCTGTTTTCATTTTACCCTCCATTCTATTTTTCTTTTTCCTTCTCCACATTTCTCTTCCCTAATCTCTCTCTCTCTCTCCATTTTTTTGGTTTCAACTTTCCTTCTCTTTCATTTTCCTTCTCTGTTTTTCATCCTTTTTTTATTCAAATACTGTTGCCTTGGCTTGACCAGAAGCTTTACTTAACATAACCTAACAACAAGCTTCTTCACATTCTTCAAGGGCAGTTAATCAGATTAATCCAACAAGATTCCTTAATTAGTCTTTCCATTTTCCTTGTTTTTAATCACTTTGTTTCACTTGAGGCTTGATGGCCTTTTGTTTGTATTAACTTTTGTGCTTTGAGACTTAGGCTATTATGTTATTATGAGATCTTGTTAGGAGGCATATGATATTATTTGATGATTTTCTATCAATTAGATTCTTGATTTTGACATATGTAGTTAGTTTTTTGGTTTTAACCCCTTCCTCCAGTGTTTTTCTATATTTTTGTAGATAACATTTATTATATATATATATATTTTACATTATTTTATTATGGCTGACCATGCTTTTGTCATGGCATCCCGCCATAATTTTATGGTAGCATTTTGACTTTTTCCATAACCCGCAATCCACCATTGATAATAGAGCTATAAACTGCAAAAACAAGCCTAAAATCATTATAAGGTCTAAAAACCTGGCAGAGGTCAATCCCCAACGTCAGCAGTCAATGGTCAAAGTTGTTCAATAGAACCCTTGTGATGTGACAATATGTGGGGCAGGGACGTTGGCTAGGGTTGATGTCAAGGGTGGAGGCAATGGGTGGCCCCAAGTTTTTAATACTCTTGTATTTTGTTAACCAAAACAACTGTGATCTTCTACAACAACAACAACCAAGCCATATCCCATTAGGTAAGGTTGGCTAAGTGGATCCATTGAGTTAGGTCAAAATTCAAATATTCAAAAATTTTTTTAATGAAAAAATCTCTTTTAATAAATTTGTCTTTGGGTCTCTTTTGACCATTCTTTACCAAACTAAAAGTCATGCAATTGACACTCCTTACTGGTACCTCCAAAGATTTTCTCTATATGTGACCTAGCTTAGACAAATTTCAATCATCTTTTTCACTGTAGGTGGTACTCAATATTCTCCTGTATATTATCATTTCTTATCATGTTCTTTCTTGTGTGACTACTCATCTACCTTAACATTTTTATTTCTGTCTCTCACTTTCTTCATGTATTGTTCTTTTAAGGCCTAACATTCACTACCATATAAAATATCTGGTCATATTGCAGTATGGTAAAACTTTCCTTTCAGTTTGATAGATACTTTATAGTCACAAATAACTCCTAATGTCTTTCTTCATTTTAATCATAGTAGTCAATAGTGGCTGCTATTGTGGAGGTATGGAGTGGAGTGACTGGGTGCCGCTATTCCATCGCTGTCACGTCTCATTTCAATGGAGCTGTTGTCGTGCCACGAATCGCAGCCACTATTTCATCCTATGGCAAAAGGGCATGTTTGCCTTCCCTTTCTTAAATGTGGAATACTTTTTAAGGAGGGTAATCTTAGGATTTCAACCCCCTTTTATATGTCAAACAGGAGCAAAAGGGCAAGTTTGCCCTCCCTTTCTGAAAGCTGGAATGCTTTTAAGTGGGGCAGTCTTGGGATTTCTCCCATCTTTTATATTTTTGAAAGTTGGAATGTTTCTCCATCTTAGCAAGAACCCTACCTCCATCTATGTTCTCTAGTTCTCTTGCTTTGTCCTCCATCTCCAGTGTCACTTTCTAGTGCAATTCACCATTTTTCATCAAGTTCCAATCGTCTTCATATCCAACAAATCCCAACTTATTTTTAATGTAAGCAAAGACATTTTTCCAGTTGTCTTTTTCATCTCTGGTGTAACCCAACCTATTTTTGACGAGATGTAAACTTTTTCGGATGATAGTGAGATATTTTTCAGTAAGACCATTTGCATTAAAACTTTTTCTGATGATTGAATACTCTTTGATCTATTTTCCTTCTTTGTTTTGATTGTCTTTGGAATAACAGTCATCCAGCTATCCGCTATCCTACTATAACATTTTTAGGGTCAGCTGCTCTTTGTAGCTATCCAAGATTGACTACTATGATTTCAACCACTAAACTTGTATTCTATGAGTAATATCTTCAGTAATTTTCTCATACCTGAATTTGGAAACTTTTATAATATCATCTTCAATTTTGACTTTCATCGGATGATTCTCATCTTTTTTTTTTTTTTTATAAACTTACAATGCATATAGTATGTTTTACTCCTACTTAAGTGAAAATCTTTAGATTCTAAAGTCTCCCTTCATAACCTAAGTTTAACATTAACTTCTTCTTTTGAATTCTCAACCAACACTATATCATCTGCAAAGAACATGCAATTATGGATAAACTTTTGTATGTGACTTGTAAAAATCATATGTAAGTCCTTTTCTTTGTAGTGATATTTTTATGTCATCTTCATAAAAAAATATATAGCTGCTATTGTAGATCTTCCTACAATTTTAGTTTCTTCTCATATTCTATGTTTAATCACCATTTCTCATAACTTCATAGTGTGACTTAAGTTTATTCCATTTATTGTTTGCACTTGGATATTACCCTTGTTCTTGTACATGGGAACCAAAATGTTCTTCCTCCATTCATTTGACATACTCTTAGATTTCAAAATCTTATTAAAAAGCTTAGTGAGCCACTCAAGTCCTTGTTTTCTCAAATTTTTTCAAACTTTTATAGAGATATTATTGGGATCAATCACTTTACCATTATCCATTCTCTTAAAAGCTTCTTTTACTTAAACTTGAATTCTACGATAATATGTTAAATTTAAATCATTCACTTGTACTTCTAATTCTGCTATATTTCTATTTACTCCTTTCCATTATTAAAAAGTTAATAGAAACATTTCTCTCATTTGTCTTTGATGACTTGATTCAAAACTAAAATTTTTTCTTTTTCATCCTTAATACATCTAACTTCATTTGAATCTTTAAATTTTCTTTCTCTAGTTTTGACAAGCTTATATATCTTTCTTTTACCATACTTTGTTTCAAGATCTTGATAAAACCTTTCAAAAGCCTTAAAACATGTTTCACTCATTGCTTTTCGTGTCTCATTTCTTACATTTTGATACCTTGTCCAATTTTCAGCATTGTCGAATGTATGCAAAATTTTAGAACACATTCTCTTCTCTCTAAACTATTCATACACATTTTCATTACACCACCATGATTTCTTGTCTTTTGGTACAAAATCTCTAAATTCACTTAAAATTTTCTTGTCAACTTTCCCGACCTTCATAGCCATTTGTCCCAAATGATGTTAGTACTACCTTGTGTCACCCAACTACCTACTTCTACTAGCTGCTTCTAAAAGTCCAACTATTTCTCACCTTCAAGTAGTCATCACTTAATTCTTGGAACAATAACTTGTTGAATTGTTTATTTACCAGTCTTAAAACAAACATGAAGGACCTGGACCCTATGTTGTGTAGTAAACCTCTCACCTTACATCAATTTACAATCCTTGCAATTTTTTTTGTCTAGATTTCTTACGAAGAAAAAATTGATTTGTGACCTTGAAACTCCACTCTGAAAAGTGATAAGATGTTTATTTTTCCCTTTTCTTAAAACAAGTGTTCATAATGTTAAAGTTGTAGGACATTTAGAAATCAAGAATAAATCATCATTTTTCATTTAACTCTTCAAAAATCAAAATCACCATAAACTCTTGTAAATTGTCTTGTCTAATAACCAACATGTTTATTATAAAGTCTTCACCTGCGAAAATCTTTTTGGTTTGTGGAATGTCTTAGATCAACCCCTTTAAATTCTCCCAAAACTTTGCTTTCAGAAGGACTTTCAAGCCAACTTGTGGAGCATAAGTACTAATAATACTAATAGTGTCTTGTGCAACCAATAACTTCAAAGACATGATCCTATCTCCAATTTTTTAATTTCTATCACGTTTTTTTTCCAAGTATTATTCACAATTATGCATACTATGTTCTTTCCCTTGACTTTTCCTGTATACCGAAGTTTAAAACCTGTAGCATTGAGCTCTTTAGCCTTATTTCTAACCTAAATCTTAAACATCCCACCAGTCTGCTGCCCTAGTGCCCATAGATGTTGGCTGTGCACTGGCCCATTGACTAGTCCTTGGCAAACATTGCAATGTTGGCATCACCACTTGCACTGCTCATTTGTAGCAGAGAGATGGTGGAAGGATTTAATACCAAACGATAAGAATCTTGGGAGAACCACACCACTAATGCTAATTGTTGTAATTGTAGAGCTGAAGGCCTTATAAAACCTTACATTGGGATCTCATACTTCCAATGTGAGACTCAAGTCCCATACCTTGCCATTGGATCCTCACAAAATACTGTTAAGGGAAACAAAAGGGAGCTTATACAAAGAGTTCCATCCAGTTCTGCAGAAACATGGACACTAGTTACAGTGGGTAGTACTGCTCTAACACTATGTTAGAATTGTGGATTTTGATTGGGGAAGACAGATAGCAAAAGATGGCTAATAGTTTTTTGTTTCTTTGTTTGATAGTTAAGATAAATTTCTTTATGCCATAAGTGCACTGGATATTCAAAATTGAAAGTACAAAATCTGTTGTGCAGCCTATGTTAACAGAATGACAAGGCTGTTGCAAAATGCTGCTGACAGAATGGAAAGCCTATACAAACCCTTGGTGACAGATTGGCAGCACCTAAAAATATGATTGATCTATTGTATAACAATGCCTTCAATTAAAATTCCTATTTATACTAATAATCAGGTAAAGTATTACTGTACTAGTATTATTGGTACAAGAACTATTCTGGAAAATGAGTTTTATTTATTCCACTGAAAACGGAAGCCAACAGCTCTTGCAGGGAAAAAAGACTCACAACGGCCCCAGAGCCAAGCGCTCTGCATACTCCCCATTATCTATCTCTTGCCCCTTCGTTCTCTCTTACCTACCTTGCTAAAAACCATAGCATTTCTAACCAACTGCTGACTTAGTAACACTAATCTTATGCCTCTACTAAGCAGCTCCTGGCACCCCTTTCTATCACCAAGATTTAACTATTCATCCAAATCTTGGGCCTATTTGGTGGCCCACTTGGAGAATAACCCACAACTTGATCAACTTGAGCTCCCTCAGCAATAGCACTACTAGAGCCCGTGTGTCTATCTGATACAGTAGTCATTTTGGCTTCTTTTATGTGTTCAACTAGTGGTTAACTCAAAGTGCTATGTTGTACTGTTGTGGAGTTAGATTAGAGCGGTTTATTATTGTATTGATATGTTATTCCTTCTTGCCGTTGTTCTTATTTCCTTCCACTTGTCTTGGAAGTTGCCTTATTCTTCATATTCTCTCCAATCTAGTAACATTTCTCATATAACTGCAACACAATTCTCTTTACTATTTTATGATATTTTGCATGAATCTTTTGCAGGTCTTGTTGGCACGAGGACTGCAACTTGAGAGAACTAGTAAAGTTGCCAACATACAGTACTTGGAGGTATTCTTCAACAACTAAGTTTCTATATGTCTCAGATGCTAACTAATTGGGAAATCAACAGCAAAGTTTGCTTTTTGACATTAGCATGGATGTAGCATGCCACTTAATTATCCACTTATCCTGATTTTCAGTCATTAATCATGATTGTTATCTTGGTACCTATAATGGAATCGGGAAGAGAACTAAAATGCATGGCACCAGATAAAATGTCAATTGTCAAATTAAGATTTTTCAAGAAATGAATGACATCTAGAAATATGCACCACTATGTTTTGCATTTTTTATACTCAGTCTGATCATGGAAAGTGTCGGATGGAAATATGTATAAGACTGTTTTGGTGCCATTGATGTATACAGGTTTTAGTTTGGCCCTGGCGGCCCCAAAGGTTATAGAGAAGTCTGTTTGGAATTTTATTCTTCTTAGGTACCAACACTTAGTTTAAGTTGAAAGTTGAAACCATCATTTTTGCTTTTAGATTCTGTGCATGTCTTGGATGTCCGTCTGGATTTTACATTGCCTATATCAGTATACAAATGTCGAGGTGTTGGTTTTGGAGCAACGTTTTTAGTCAACTTAATCCTTACTAAGACCTCCTTCGATTTTGTCAGTGGACGCGATATATTTTATGCATTGGTATCCTTTTGGCATTTCCTGGTTAAACATGATGAAACTTGTTTTGAGCATGTAGTGCTTTTTCCTCTATCATAGTGATCTTACAAGATATGATTAATGTCTTAGCATCATCCTCAATACTATTGGATGATTTATTGGCTATTTTCTGTCAAATATCCTATATGCACCAGTGTCACTAATCAAGTAACTTGTCACTAAATTTTGTGCTGTATTTCTTTTCTTTTTGCACTTGAATTGGAATTTCATACCAGTCCTGGGGACTGATACTGACCCACCTTTCTGTTTTTCAGGCAGCGCTAGCTCAATTTTGCAGCCTTGCTTTGACAAGAGTCGTGGCTCCGTCTTTTGATCACCTCGCTGGGGTTTTACTTATTGTTATCTCTGTATGTTGCACTTTGTATATAGGACCTGACAAGGAGATGGAATGATATAGATTCGAGTCATGTATTTTTGTTAGGTTTGGGGCTAAATATGATGTTATCATTTGTTAATTCAACTTGTTAATATAAAGTCTAGTCTCGTTTATTTTTTTTAGCTAAAAATCTCCACTTCTTTTTTAATTCTTAGAAATTAGTTCCTTCAGAGTTGATTCGCCCTGACACAAACCAATCACAATTGCACAAAGCAATTGGGTTTTTAGTTTTCAAATTTCAAAGTAAATTTTAAAATACAACCCCACAAAATAACGAAATTACTTACCATTTCTTTTGACTTCATTTGGTGATGATGATGGTTAAATTGGAAGTGGAGGCTGTGGTGGTGGTTGCCAGAAAGAGTGACAAGGAAAATGGTGGTGATGACATTAGTTATGATATAGCAATATCTAGAGCTAGTGGTGATACTGGTGATGAGTTGTGGTATTAGTTTAATAGGGATGAAAATAGGTTAGATTAATTTAGTCTTTGCATAAATAGTTATGATCTATTTAATAATTTTGAAACTTAAATCTGACTTATTTATTATAAGTTTTTTATTAAGTTTAGTCTGCTCTTTTTTTAAAAAAATTTAATTTGGCCTATTAACTTTTTTAATAGTTTATTTTATATTAAAATCTTCAACAGGTCATCAAGTTTTTTTTATGAATATTATTAATTGAATTTAATTATGATTGATCATTTATAAATATAAGTGCAACAAAAGTAGATAAAATTATTTTATTCTTTTCAATTAGAGAAAATATTTTATTAATCTCAAAATAGAGAAAAGAAAGAAAAAAATAATGAAAAAGAATTACATATACTATAATTAAATATGCAAAAAGATTATATATGAGACGATTTAATGATTGATGTAATCAAGATAATGCAAAAGTAAATAAGTTATATATGTACAAAATAGATTAAATAACAATAACATAAATGATTTTAACAAAGATGACTCTCTTAAAAGTTATATAGTGAAGACGTTCTCAAGTTTTAACAAAAAGGATTATAATTTTTTATTTAAGATTTTATTCATTTTAAAATTTAATTAATTTAAAATAATATTATATTATAATTTTTATATAAAATTATTTAATATATTATTATAAATTTTAATTTTAAATACTTCATTTTAATAGATTTAATAGACTTTTATTTTTAAGTTCAAGTTTAACTTTAATTAATTAAGTCTTTTAAAAAATTTAAATTAATTCTATTACTTCAATAAGTCAAGTTAAACTATACTTTAAATACTTTAGAAAAGTTAAGTCTTTTGACAATCTGATGTATTTCTATCCTAGATATTAGTGATAGGATAGATATGCTTTTTGAAAAAAAAAAATAAGAATTGAATAATTCATTTTAAAAATAAAAAATCAAAATTACATTACTTAATTTTAAAGATTATGTTAAAATATAAAATTAAGTTAAAAATTAATTTATCTTCATTTTACTTGAACATGCTTTGTTTAAAAAATTACTTTTGAGAAGTAAAAATTGAAAACTCAACTGCTTTGAATAAATATTGATCTTTTTATGCATTCATACTTTATATACGTTATTTGTGACTTAGTGATTTCTTTGAGTTGTTAAAAGTAATTTGAGGTAAGGTAGTTTCTTTTCAGACCTCTCTTTTTATTAACCACACCATTCTTAATTTATCTTAATGTTATTGTCAAAATACACTAACCTTTTCTTCTTACAAATTCTAAAAGTAAGTCTTCTCTCATTGTCTTTTTGAAAACATTATTAGTTTTCCTTCCCACCCTATCATCAATCTCGTGTTCTGTATCAATTTGGTCCGACTTAGCAGATCGGTGAATGCTTCAAAAAACAAAAAAAATCAAAATAAGGGCATCGATCAAGATGGAGTCACGTGGAAGGAAAATGCAGAAACCCAATCAAAGCTTATCTCACTCTTATTAAAAAGACGGGTGAGGAATCAATGACGAACAGAAGTGAGAAATCTGGTGATAGAATAAACAAGGAGAATTCGAAGGAGGTTGAGAGTGGGAGTTCTGACCTACGGAACTTACAAGGAGACGTACCGAAGTCGCTGAAAAAGGTGGAACGACCAATGTTTCACGGAGATGATCTGCAGATTAGAGCAAATTGATACATATTGTAATTAGAAATCAACAAAATGGTAGGCAAAACACTAAAAGAGAGAACAAGTATCTGTATCATTTAGTTGGAAAAGAAAAATTACAGAAGAAAAAGTATTCTTTCACTGCCAAGAGCTAAGGCTCCTATAGAGTATTCAAAGGCTCTCCATTCTAATAGAAAAATATCAAAATTCCCTCCCTAATTCTCTCTCACCACTATGTAACCATTCATGCACTCATTGCCCATAACTAACTTTATGTGAACTCAACAGCTTGTATATTGTTATAACTTAAGTCCAGAAAATCATCTTGGACCAAAGTTTTTCATGGCCCATCTTCATCTTGGGCCCTATCAGTTTCACGATGTCACTCCATCCACCTTCATGCAGATCAGCCCTACTCGATGGGCCGCAAAATTCACAACTGCAAACTCTACATCCTCAACGGCGTTCTCTGCTTACGATAAAGACAAACTGATGAAAAAAACCTAAAGAAACATCCTTGATTATTACATTATTAATACAATGAATGACATTATGTCTTCTATACCACCGAGCAATAACCTGTTATGTATAAAAAGCATAAGTGTTGTGTGTAGATTCTAGAAACTCAATCCACCAATAGAAAGTACAAAATTACAAACATTCTATCTGGGCATTATACATTAAGAAGCAAACCTGATACGTGAACCTTAGATCTGGGCTTCCAAACATTTGTGCTAAACCAAAATTTGATAGTTTCAGTTGTCCATTAGATTCTATCAACAAATTATTTGGCTTCGTATCCTTGAAAATATGAAAGCAGACTTTTGAGCTTAGCTTGGTGCTTAAATCAAGTAAAGACTTTGGAATTACCAAATCAACATAATAATACTCTACCTATGCAAAATCCATTTCTTGTGGCAAAAATTAGACCTTTTAGTGTCATTTGAAGATAGGATTTTGAATTAGCTGGTGAAAGAAAAATATTTTGATCTCGTAGATAGCCACAAATTTCATTGCAAAAGTTAAAGTCTTAGGAGAGAGGAAGAAGGGGGTGGCAAGAAGAAAAGAAATAAAGAATTTTTTGTAAAAAAATTTAAAATATGTTTATAACTTATCTAAAATATTAATTTTAAATAATAAAATATTAAAAAATTAAATATCATAATAATTGATGTGACAATGAGGTGAAAATATTAATGTTGTTCTCTATTAGCTAGCTCAACACTTAATAAAAAGAAAGCTAAAAATTTTGTAAAAACTTATCACAAAATGTATTATATTCATAGTGATCAAAATTGTATTTAAGCCTAAAAATAATCATAAATTTATTGTAAATTTATTTATAAATATTTTAATTTTTTAAAATAATTTAACTTAAAAAATATAATAAATTATCAATGGGTGTTCCAATTGGTAATAATTTTTTTAAAATGTCTTACTTAAAGTATAAATTATATGGTATCACCTACCTTTTATATTTGTTATATAATAATTTAATTATCAAGTAAGTGATATTAAGCAAGAAATTAATGAAACAATAATCAAATAAACAAAGCAATAGTCATAATGAGCTATATACAAAATGTAATAAATTTTTTAAAAAATTAAAATAAAATAATAATAAAAGTTAGATAAAAACTAGTTAAACTCTTAATTGTAAGCATCATCTGGGACAATATCATCATCATTATCTAACTCATTAGAGTTAGTCATATTATCTGACGGTGAAGATTCTTAAAAAATGTGTCAAACAGGCATCTAAAGGAACTTCTTTCCATAATCGAAAGATCCTAAAACGTACATGTCCCTAAAGAAGGCTTTGACATCAACAATGATCTTCTTCTACATTCTCTTGAACTTACTCTTTCTTCTCTTTTTTTTTTTTTCCTTCTCCTACTATTGGTGCTCCTCCATGGACAACTTAAGTTGTCACATCTCCCTCAAGTCTTACACCACAGCTACTTGGCTAGATGCCTATTACATGAACTATTAAAGGATATGTATTTGTTGCTACTAGATCAATTATGTCTATTGCTATAGCTCTTGGTTGAGGAAATGCACATGCTCCCTTATGCCGTCATCTTTAGTTACAATCCAATGGCAAAGGATGAAGATCTACTATTTGGGTAGTACTCATCCCATACATGTGACCCTTATAAGGGCCACCAACCACAAGAGTCTATACATCTTGCTTGGAGGAGGAAGGATATCAACATTGAGGCCAGCCTCAATTACCTAAGTCTGTGTTTACTCCCACCAATTTATAAACTCACACTACAAACAAAAAATAAAATAAAAAAAAAATATTGTAAGTAATAATTATGACAAATGAAAATAATAAAAATCAAGTACAAATATATCTTAATTCATCTTACATAGGTGGCCTTAAAGCAATGATCAACCTAAACCTTTTTAGACACTCCTCACGACTCACCTTTTCGAGCATGGGTCTACTTAAACAACTCCCCTTAGGTTAAATAGTAATTTAACTCCTTCGCCTATACAGATATGTACAATAAATTCATTAGAATGTAGTATTTTTCACAATTCAAATATAATAAATTAACTTAATAATATATTAATATTAAAAAGGTTTAAGATTTACCAAAAACTCAGCCTACTAGTATGAAGTGATTAGACTTTCTATTTTGTCTTTGTTCAACCCATTCCAACCTTTAGGTCACTAGCCTAGTAACACCACAACTCACTGAGGATGACATCATTCAACCACAAGTTATTCATATGCCTATTTCATCCTCGAGTATAATGTAGAATGTCTTTTACATAGAACTTAGAACACAATTAATAATATAAACATATATATTTTAACAAAAGTACAAAATCATAGAATTACCTTCCACTTTTGTCAGCATATCTCCTTGACATCTCTAGGGATGTGACGCTCTAATATATTATTCATTTATTTGTAAATCTTATCAAATTTAGAAATTTAAATGAATTTCTTTGCAATTATGATATGGAAATTCCATCTAAAATTTTTAAACTATTATTCATATTA